GGACAGCCCGGTCTCTCTTCCACCTCCTGAGACCCAGGTGGACACTGGGGGCAGCAGCACCTCCACCTGGGGTCCACAGAGGGTGTCCTGAATGCACAGGGCCTAACCGTTCAGTGAGGCTGGCCCTTGTCCACAGTGCACTGACCTGCTGCAGGGTCTCGGGTTCCCTGGCATCCAGCTCACCTATTGCCAACCCCAGCTTCGTGCCTTGGGAGCCCCTCATTGGCAGGCACCCAGGAGGTGAAAGCTGCATGCCCAGCAAGAAGGAAGAGAAGCCGGTGGGGCAGGGGTCCAGCATGGAGTGTCCAAGGCCCCTCTGCTCCCCCAGGAACACCCAGCCCCGCCTGCCGTGGCCTTTCTCCTCTTCAGTATGTGTCTTTGTGGCTGATGTTGCCAAACACCTTCCTCTGGATGAGAAGGCTCCATGACCATGGAAGGGGTGGAGATGAGGAGGCGCTGTAGCCCCAAACCCAGGGAGCATGAGAACTAACTTCCCTGAGCCCTGAACGTACTGTCTGTTCAATCTGTACCAACAAAGGCCGAAATCCAGAGAGATCCTCTGTGGAAACACTTCATGTCCAACAAGAGAACCAAACTAGGCCAAGATCTGGGCAGATTTTCTGTGAAGCACTTTTCCGTTCAACAGGAGAGGATTTGTTAACTCATAGCCAAACCCCGAGATGTGGGATGTGCTGTAACTGTGGAGACTGCAGGGAAGGCGTTTGAGAAGTTTCTTCCCAGGAGGCTCCCCTGAGGCCCCTGGAGTTACTGGACCCAGAGCTTCTCTCCTCACTTCAGGCCAGATGGTGCCCCCAGCCACACAGCTCTGCTCCTTCACCTCCTTGAGTTCAACAGAAACCCCCCGGTCAGGAGGCCAAAGTGCAGTCTTCTTGGTGAGCAGAGCAGAGGCCGGTGGGAAGTGGGGTGGAGGCTGAAAGCTTTTGTAGAAGAGAAAGATGCACATGTATTCCTGTGTGTCGTGGCCAGATGCTGCAGTAATTGGTGTTCCCTGCACATTTATGGGTGGGTTTCAGTTTCTGTATTTTCTAAATTTCTTTTTTTTTAAACAGCTGAATATTATGAGAAAATTTTTGCAATCAACCACGAGAACTTGCAAAATAAGATCTTTGTTTTTTATTTTTCTTTTGCTAAAATGTTGCAGTTTTCTCTTGATGACAGATGAACAGTCTCCTACCTTTAAGTATTCATTTAATTGGCTGCGCTGGGTCTTAGCTGTGGCATGCAGGGTCTTCAGTTGCAGCATGTGGGATCTAGTGCCCTGACCAGGGATTGAACGTGGCCCCCTGTGTTGGGAGCTCAGAGTCTTAGCCTCTGGACCAGCAGGGAATGCTCCAACCTCCTACTTTAAAAAAGATGATTTATTTATTTTTGGCTGTGCTGGGTCTTCGCTGCTGTGTGGGCTTTTCTTTGGTTGTAGGGCATGGGAGCCGCTCTTCCATTTCTGTGCTGAACTTCTCCCTGTGGTGGCTGCTCTGGTTGGGAAGCACGGGCTCTAGGCTTTTGGGCTGCCGTAGTTGTGCACTGTTGGGCTTAGTTGCTCCACGGCACGTGGGGTCTTCCCAGATCAGGGATTGAACCCGTGTCTCCTGCATTGGCAGGTGGATTCTTAAACACTGCCCCACCAAGGAAGTCATTCCTGTCCCCTCTTCCTGCCAACATCCCCCTTTAAAAAAAGACTAAAGATAATCTGTTTAGTAAGTTTTCAGGAGTCTGAGCTCTGAGGCCAGCGTCTGTGGTGTCATTCTCCCAAAGGCTTCAGACACCAATTGGGCTCATGAGTCTGGCGGCCAGGGCAGGTCTGGCGGCTGAAGACAGGCTTGGCCTCTGGAGCTCTGCCCTCACTGACTCACCCAGGGTCCTTGAGTCCTGGCAGCCAAGCAGAGGTGCACGCAGGCAGGGCTGGTACAGCCATGGGGCCACTGTGGTCAGGGTGGAGCATGCGGCAGAGGCCGCTGACTGTCCATCTCCGTGACTGCTGGTGTCCTGTTGTGAGGTGAGCAGAAGTAACGCCATGGCAGGCAGCTTAGATTAGGAGTAGCCCTTCCTACTTCTGGGTGGTAAGATTATCAGGCCACCTGGATACAACCAATCAGCTTAACACTGACCGCTGTTTGCCAATTAGGAACGGGGCGGAAACCCCTGGGAAAGTCCCGCGCGCGCGAAAGTTTTGAGTGTGTTTGACCAATGAAATTGCTTTGCAAACTTGTAACCAATCCACTTAAACCAACTACCAATGGCGTGTGCTCCCCCTATAAATTTGTGTAACAGCTTGGGCTCGGGGCCCTCTGACCCCGCACCACTGCGTTGGGTGCCCTGACTCGAGTCAGCAATAAACTTCCCTTTTTGAGAGTTGCATTGTCTTGGAGGCCTTCTCTCTTCCCGTTCAGGGATTTGGACATCGGGCATAACACTGTGTGCCTGTGTGGGGCAGTCACTGTGTCAGGTGAGGCCTGGCCGCTGTCATGGGGACAGGATGGGACCTCAAACAGCTCGCATCCCCACTCCCCAACCCCAGCTCCGCTTCAGATCATGCCTTGTGGCTGCTGGCAGCTCCCAGGGCTGGGAGGCTGTGTAAAGCACCAGCCCCCTTTCTCAAGGTCAGCTGAGACCCCCAGCTCTGGGGTCACACACCATCCCTGCCACCATCCAGGTCATCCCACTTCTGTGAGGGAGGGCCTGTGAAGGGCTGTGGGTGATGGGGAGTTTGTGGGCTGGCCCAGGAGTCAGCTTTTTGAGGGGAGGGGAGTGGAGGGGAGGGGAGGGAGAAGCTTTGACCTGCTCGTGGTTCCAGAGGATTCCAAGCCCAGCTTTGGTGGGAGGTGCAGGTGAGAAGCCCCTGCAGGTTTCTGGGTTCCCACCATTTTTCAGCTGAATCCCCTCTGCCTGAACCACCCCTAACTGTCCCTCCCATGGCCCTGGCCTGAAGCCACAGAAGATGGGGAGTTTACGTGGCTTCCCTTCCTGTAGGGAAACCAAGCCACAGACAAACACGTTCCTTTATGAAAGCATGAGAAAAACAGGAAAATAATAGTGGGTGGTTATTACTGACACGGTTCATGTAGAGACACTTCACAAGCCTGGCACATGGAGAGAACTGAGGGCCGTTGCCCCGAGTCCTGGAGTTTGTACCCTCCACCCCCCCCACCCCGTGGCCCACTCTCCCCTTGTTGTCTTCTGGTGGCTGGGAGGACTTCAGCCTCCTGAACCCCTTCTGGAAGGATCAGGCCAGGGCTGAGGTCATTCACAGAAGGGAGGGTGTTTTCGACCTTAAGAACGAAATTGCCCCCACTCTGTGTCGGAGCTCAGTTCCGGGTCTGAGCAAGCGTGGCTTCCTGGTGCTGTCCCCACCCTCACTCACCCAGGGTGGGGGGCTTTGTGTCCACCTCGTCCCCTCATGCAGCCTGGCCACCCCAGGACCCGTGCTGTGTGTGCATCTGCTCTGCTCACAGCTCACCCCGGGGCCCATCAGACTTCACTCATGAAAGAGAGGTGTAAGGATGAACTATTCCATAAGTTAAGAATTTCAAGGTTGCGACAGCGTTGCCCAGAGCGCACAGGCACAGGTGTGAGGCCCATGCATAGAGAAGCCGCGGTGTGGGCTTCAAGGACCCTCTGTGTGGGGGTGGGATGGGGGCCGGACAGGGATTTTCTGCAAACGTGGCTCCAGGGTCTGTTCTCAGCAGGGGGGATGACTATGGGCACTGTCTGTCTGTGGACGGGTTCTGGGGCTGCCCAGCTCAGCAGGAACAGCAGGGGTGCGAAGGGAGGTCGCCCTCCCTTCGCACCCCTGACCTAACACCCCCTCATCAAGGCAGCCCAGTGCCTAGACGGCCCCTTCCTCGTCTAGCTCTGAAGACCTGGAAGGTGTGGGGGGTGAAGGACATGCAGAAAACAAATTCTGTAAAGCAATTATCTTTCTATTAAAAAATAAAAAAAGATTAAATAAAAAAAACACAAAGGACAGCAAAGGTGGGGCTTGCGTTCTCAGCCAGCCTCTGCCAGATTCCTCCTGTGCTTACGCATCAGACCAAAATGCTGGTGCTCCCACCTCGTATCACAGATAAGAATAGAGACACAGAGAGGTTGAGCATCTTGCCCCAGCTCACACACCTGCTGGGGTCAGGGCTGAGAACTGGACCCCGGTGGTCGAATCTGGAGCCCAGATGCTGTGATGACCCCGAGGGAGCGGCAGAGACCAGACGGCCCATGCTGAGCCAGGCGCACGCGCACACACACACACGTGCACGTGGCCTTCACCTTTGCGGCTACAGAAGTCAGAGGGAACCAGAGGGCCACCCGGAGAGGCCAAAGGAGAGCCGAGGTCTATAAGGAGGAGAGGCCACACTTCCCAGGAAGCCGGGGAATCCCTTTCCATGGTGAGTCTGACTCAACCCCTAGATTCCTCTCCCTGGACCCAGGAACTGACTGTCCAGTGACCTAACTGAGTTGGCTCCAGATTTATGCCTTCCCAGGGGTTCAGCTACGACTGGACTCCACTGCTGCCAGTGATAAGGGGGGAATGAGTTCATAGTCTGGGCTTCAGATTTGTTTGGAGACAAAATTTATTAGAAGAGGAGTACTAAAAAACCACGAAGGCAATTGGCATGAACATCTCCAGGACACCTAAGAAACCCTCTGCTGTTTATCTACCTCCTCTCATGTCACGAAAGTGGAAGGTGTATTTAACAAGTAATTCTGTGCTTATCACACTCTTTCCTTAAAATATTTATTATATATTTATTTATTCCGTTGTGCTGTGTCTTAGCTGCAGCATGTGGGAGCTAGTTCCCCAATCACATATTGAATGTGGGTCTCTGCACTGGAGTCTTGACCCCTGGACCACCTGGGAAGTCTCTCCTCATACTCCTGGGGGCAGTAACGGGTCACAGGCCTCCTCTGAGGCCCCCTTAGAGCTGAGGCCTGGGGTGGCTGCAGTAGTCCTCCTGTGGCTAAGCTGTGGTTTGTTGGTCATAACTCACTCACACTCCCCGCAAACATAGGGCTTCTCCCCTGTGTGTGTCCTCTGGTGTCTGATGAGGACGGACTTCTGACTGAAGCTTCGCCCACACTCCCTGCAATCATAGGGCTTCTCCCCTGTGTGTGTCCTCTGATGTCTGATGACGGCTGACTTCTGACAGAAACTTCGCCCACACTCCCCGCAAACATAGGGCTTCTCCCCTGTGTGTGTCCTCTTGTGTGAGATGAGATGGGTCTTCTGACTGAAGCATCGCCCACACTCCCCGCAAACATAGGGCTTCTCCCCTGTGTGTGTCCTCTGGTGTCTGATGAGGACTGACTTATCTCTGAAGCTTTGCCCACACTCCCCACAAACATAGGGCTTCTCCCCTGTGTGTATCCTCTCGTGTGTGATGAGGACTGACTTATCCCTGAAGCTTCGCCCACACTCCCTGCAAACATAGGGCTTCTCCCCTGTGTGTGTCCTCTGGTGTGAGATGAGATGGGACTTCCGATGGAAGCTTCGCCCACACTCCCCGCAAACACAGGGCTTCTCCCTTGTGTGTGTCCTCTGGTGTCTGATGAAATTTGACCCGTGATAGAAGCTTCGCCCACACTCCCCACAAACATAGGGCTTCTCCCCTGTGTGTGTCCTCTGGTGTCTGATGAGGATGGACTTGTGACTGAAGCTTCGCCCACACTCCCCGCAAACATAGGGCTTCTCCCCTGTGTGTGTCCTCTTGTGTGAGATGAGATGGGTCTTCTGACTGAAGCTTCGCCCACACTCCCCACAAACATAGGGCTTCTCCCCTGTGTGTGTCCTCTTGTGTGAGATGAGATGGGTCTTCTGACTGAAGCTTCGTCCACACTCCCCACAAACATAGGGCTTCTCCCCTGTGTGTGTCCTCTGGTGTGTGATGAGACTTGACCTGTCCTTGGAGCCTTGCCCACAGTCTCCGTACGTGATTCTCATAATCTCTGAGACCCCTGCCCCCGTGAATAATGTGCCTGTGTCCTCCAGATTCAGTTTCTGGCTTGTGCTGGGCTCGTCTTTCATTCTCTCATGCACCCCAGAACCCCCCATTTGTCCTCCGGGTGAATAGCAAGAGGCCCTTGAAATCCCCTTCAGCCTTATGCTTTTCAACAAAGGTTTGGGCCTGTCCTTGGCCTCCTGACCCTCAGGTTTGTCACTCGGGCTGTGTGGATCTGAATATCGCTGATTTTGATTGCTTGGGCAGGGATCCTCTGGTTGGAGGAGGTCTCTTTCAGATGGTCTCAGGAGGGTCTGAGAGGGGTGACTGCGTTGGATGTGTTGGCTGAGGAATTTCTGACTGGAGAAGGCCAGAGAGCAGGAGGCACATGGGTGGATCTTGGGCTTCAGTTCTGCTGAAAGACGAAGATTTTGGTCAGGTAGCTGGTTTGCCATGGTCAGGCCCTCCCCACTAATCATCTAAGTGTTGACAGTGCACAATTTGTCTTTACAGTCCACTTTTCCACTCCACTCTTATTCTCTACATCTACAGAAATCCAGGAAGCTGGTGTGAAGGGCCTATTCTACATATCACCCAGATAGGGACCTTCTAGCAGCATCAGAGGCAGTGTTTCTCCTGATAGAGATGGATCTGCAGGGACTTTCCCTGCGTGTAAGTGTCTGAAAAGTCACGTCACAGTGGCCACAGGTGTTTTACCCTACTGAGAGATAAGACTTGATGACTTAGGTGGAATCTCCTGAGAGGCTCCCTGTGAGGGGAAAGGGTCTATTAAGTTAGGGGCGCTTGGGCTGGAGCTCTCTGCATATGGGAGGGAGCACAGGGGGTGGTTAGAGCAGGTGTGAGTAAAGCTGAATTTGTGGCTCCTTGTTCAAAGAGTAGCCTTTGTGCCGATCTCTGCAGTAAGTGGGTTTGAGACTGGATGAGACTGAGTGGCCCAGGTCCCACTGACTACAGGTCTCTGGCTCCTGCTGCCCAAACTGGTTCACAAATTACTCCTCTCTCAGTTTCCCATAAATCATAAAATAAAGGCATATCCTTTCTCAAGCCTCACCAGTCATAACTCATTTATTTAAATCAGGCTTAGTCCATTTAACATACAATAGGAAGCCCTATTTAAAAATACATCTCCAGCCAGACTCTTCACATCCTCACTCCCAAGCATCTTTAGCCAGCCCACTGTCCCCTCATGTCTGGCAATGAACTGACATCTGAGGGGACTCCCCACTGCTGTCTTCCCAAAAGTGAACCAAAGCATCGTGTTAGCACAGAGAACATGCTGCTTGCAGCTGAAAGCCTCGCGGTTGTTCTGTGTCACCCAGGAGGAACCCTGGGGCCTGCACGTGGACACAGGCCCTGAGGCTTCCGTGTCCCATCCAGCCTCCTTCCCCTCCCTCTGTGCTTCCTCCCCCGACTCCTGGCATGGCCTCTCTTCCTGGCCCTGGGACTGCGGCACTGGCTGCTCCCCTGCCTGGAATCCTTTCCCGCAGGTGTTATCTCTGCAGAGACCCTGCCACACCATCCTGCGCCACACCCCACCCTCTGCTCACGCTGATCTGAGGCACGTTCCCTGCGCTGGTTTTGCTCAGAGCACCAGCCCCTGCCTGGTATGAAGCCCCTGCTGCCCCAGGGCAGTGGTCCTGTCTGTTTGGGTGCGTGGAGCCCCGTCTGGCACAGAGTATGAACTCGCATGACAACAAACTGGAACAGTAACTGAATGCACATCACTGTACATGTGTGCACCCCAATGTTCATTGCAGTACTGTTTATAAAAGCCAGGACATGGAAGCAACCTAGATGCCCATCAGCAGACGAATGGATAAGGAAGCTGTGGTACATATACACCATGGTATATTACTCAGCCATTAAAAAGAATTCATTTGAATCAGTTCTAATGAGATGGATGAAACTGGAGCCCATTATACAGAGTGAAGTAAGCCAGAAGATAAAGACCATTATAGTATACTAACACATATATATGGAATTTAGAAAGATGGTAATGATAACCCTATATGCAAAACAGAAAAAGAGACACAGATGTACAGAACAGACTTTTGGACCCTGTGGGAGAAGGCTAGGGTGGGATGTTTCAAGAGCACAGCATTGAAACATGTATATTATCTAGGGTGTAACAGATCACCAGCCCAGGTTGGATGCATGAGACAAGTGCTCCGGCCGGGTGCACTGGGAAGACCCAGAGGGATCGGGTGGAGAGGGAGGTGGGAGGGGGGATCGGAATGGGGAATACATGTAAATCCATGGCTAATTTATGTCAATGTATGACAAAAACCACTACAATATTGTAATTAGCCTCCAACAAATAAAAATAAATGAAATAAATAAATAAATAAATAATTAAAAAATACTGATGACTAAGGAATTCCATTTACATTCTTTAAACTGGCAGGTGTCATTCATAAATTTCCTAATGTGACTCTTAAAATATCTTTGTCCTATAAATATTTTAAAATAAAATGTCTTTATTTTAGTTAAAAAAAATTAATGGGAGGAATTAAGGAAGAAAGAGGTAAAGGGCAGAGAGCTGGTAAGTGTTAGAAAACTTGCATTTTGCTCCTAAGCCTTTCAGCAGAAGGTGATGTTACATATTATTTTGCATGAAATATTAAAAATTAGAACTAGCATTTTTAATATAAAAATTTTTCCTAACAATCATATGAAAAGAATCAAATTCTGAGGCATTTTAATTGCAACTCAACTGACTTTGGACTGGATTGTACTCTGCTTCGAAATCGGACCATGGAGTCTCCCAGGATGGGGTGGGGTGCTGGAAGAGGGGTGACACTCACCTCTCCCGGCCGCAAGCTTGCTCTTCCCCCTGCTGTCCCGCTTGATGCCAAGGTCCTGGCCATACTCATCCCCGTACCAGACCAGCAGCTCACAGCCCGGCCTGACCACCTGGCAGGTTCTGTAGAAGATCTGCCCGTGATACTGGAAGGCCACCAGGTTCTGCTCCTCGTCGTCCCGGGCACAGTTCACATACCTGGGGTCGAGGCCGGGAAAGGGAAAGAAACCTCAGGTGATGAGTGCCCTCCACTCTCCCACCACGCCCAGATCCTTGCCTTCCGCCTCTGAGGCCGCCCCTCATGTGGACCTTCTGTTCACACCTTCGACCAGGCCATGTGAATTCCCATGCCTTTCTTTCCTTACCTAATTAGCCATTTTCCAGAGCCCAGATCCAGACTCGTCTCCACCTGGACTGTCCATGAGGCTGGTGACCTCCAGCTCCTCTAAACTCTGAATTAAATTCTCTTTCATCCACAGGACTTGGTGCTCCTTGGCTAACACGCAGCCCTCAGCACTCACCTCAGCCTGCCTTCTCTCCCAAGGCTTTCTCCCCTCTCCCCACGCGTATCCAGGGTCCTACTCGCTTGCCCACCCCCTCCCACGGAAACTTGGAGAGAGCTCTGAGATAGCTTGAGACACGGAACAGCAATAGTTTATTCCTGTCTGCCTGCCCTGATGAAAGGAGAGGCCCTCAGAGAACGGCCCTGCTCAGGGCCATCCTGCTCCCCATTCCTTCTGAGGTCTCAGAGCCCACTTCTCACTGGAACCAAGACTGAGGAGGCTGTTGCCCACATAGAGTCAAGGTCTCCTGTGTTAGGTTATCCTGGCGCCATGCAGTTACTCAAAGAGAGAAAAAATAAGGTTACTGTTCCTAAAATCAATTGGCTAATGTCTGTTTGCAGTATGTTCTCCAAAAGGACATGGGTTGTGTGATCTGCTTCAGTAACGAAGTTCACGGTCTGAACTGAAACATAAAGTGCGTGGTAAGCGTCCATTAAGTCAGTTAAAGTGTCCCTGGTGAATCTAGACTCCTCAAGTTGATTTCAAGTCCACTAGTTTTGTTCAGCATATAGACTTGTATCTTGACGGCACATGCCATATTTTTATTTCCTTCTTTCTAGTGTCTTTTGAAACGAAAGAGCATGATATGTAGGGAAAAGAGGAAAGAAGATGTGAAAGCTGTTGAGGGAGCCGGGTTGAGAAGGAAAGGGGTGTGGGATTGAGGGAGTATCCACGTCTACACACTGCAGGCTCACTGCACTCACCTCATCCAGTTGGCCCAGGACGTGTCCTTCCCATCCACATACTCGTAGCAGTTTCTCCCTTTGGTGATCTGAGTGTCAGAGAAAGAGTTACAAGATTTCCTCTTTTTTTTTTTTTTTTAATCGGTAGGAAGCAATAGAGGAGCTATTTCCCTCTGCAGTCATTGGTGCTTTTCAGCCTGCATGGATTCAACTGCCAGTGGGACCACACGGTAAGCTCCTTACTCATCATTCCAAGTCTGAGTCTCTTGGTTACTTGAAGGCAAGGGCTTCACAAGGGGGGAGTCACTTCTGCGTGTCTGTCCACTGTGGTCCCACCTCTCCTCTGACCTTTGGATAGAGGTCCTGTGTGTCTGGACACTGTGTTCCCACCTCTCCTCTGACCTTTAGATAGAGGTCCTGAGTGTCTGGACACTGTGTTCCCACCTCTCCTCTGACCTTTAGATAGAGGTCCTGTGTGTCTGGACACTGTGTTCCCACCTCTCCTCTGACCTTTAGATAGAAGTCCTGTGAGTGCGTACCAAGGTGTTCCCACCTCTCCTCTGACCTTTAGATAGAGGTCCTGAGTGTCTGTACACTGTCTCCCACCTCTCCTCTGACCTTTAGATGGAAGTTCTGTGTGTCTGTACACTGTGTTCCCACCTCTCCTCTGACCTTTAGATAGAAGTCCTGTGAGTGTGTACCAAGGTGTTCCCACCTCTCCTCTGACCTTTAGATAGAGGTCCTGTGTGTCTGGACACTGTGTTCCCACCTCTCCTCTGACCTTTAGATAGAAGTCCTGTGAGTGCGTACCAAGGTGTTCCCACCTCTCCTCTGACCTTTAGATAGAGGTCCTGAGTGTCTGTACACTGTCTCCCACCTCTCCTCTGACCTTTAGATGGAAGTTCTGTGTGTCTGTACACTGTGTTCCCACCTCTCCTCTGACCTTTAGATAGAAGTCCTGTGAGTGTGTACCAAGGTGTTCCCACCTCTCCTCTGACCTTTAGATAGAGGTCCTGAGTGTCTGGACACTGTGGTCCCACCTCCCCTCTGACCTTTAGATAGAAGTCCTATGAGTGTGTACCAAGGTGTTCTCACCTCTCCTCTGACCTTTAGATAGAAGTCGTGAGTGTCTGGACACTGTGTTCCCACCTCTCCTCTGACCTTTAGATGGAGGTCCTGTGTGTCTGGACACTGTGTTCCCACCTCTCCTCTGACCTTTAGATGGAGGTCCTGTGTGTCTGTACAATGTGTTCCCACCTCTCCTCTGACCTTTGAATAGAGGTCCTGCGTGTCTGTACACTGTGTTCCCACCTCTCCTCTGACCTTTAGATAGAGGTCCTGAGTGTCTGGACACTGTGTTCCCACCTCTCCTCTGACCTTTAGACGGAGGTCCTGTGTGTCTGTACACTGTGTTCCCACCTCTTCTCTGATCCTTAGATAGAGGTCCTGAGTACCTGGACACTGTGTTCCCACCTCTTCTCTGATCCTTAGATAGAGGTCCTGAGTATCTGTACACTGTGTTCCCACCTCCCCTCCGACCTTTAGATAGAGGTCCCGAGTGTCTGTACACTGTGGTCCCATCTTTCCTCCGATCTTAGATAGAAGTCCTGTGAGTGTGTACCAAGGTGTTCCCACCTCTCCTCTGACCTTTGGATAGAGGTCCTGAGTATCTGTACACTGTGTTCCCACCTCTCCTCCGACATTTAGATGGAGGTCCTGTGTGTCTGTACACTGTGGTCCCACCTCTCCTCTGACCTTTAGATGGAAGTCCTGTGTTCACGCCCAGTGCACACAGTACACAGGGCTGACTGTATCATTGCCAACCATGTTATCACCATCTGCGTCCTCACATATAGACATGAAGTACCCCCCACCACACACTAGTGATTAGAGGCCAGAGGACAGGGAAACGGGTGCTTCTCACCAGCCAGGAATACCCATTGTTGGCGGCCTCTTCATCGTCTGTGATCTGGCCCTCGTAGGGCCCAAAGTGCAGGCCCCGCGGCAGATCGGACGCCTCGTTCCACACTCCAAGCCCAGCGTCAGGGATGCCCGACAGCCTGATGCTTAACCCAGGGGGCAGGGTGAGCGCTGAGCGGTTGGCGTGCCCCTTTGGCACTGCAGAGTCCTTTACGAAGGCTGGGGGCCCGTGGGCTGCACAGCTGTCGATGAAGACGTTCTGACACTCCTCACAATCTGGAGGTGAGAACAGGGATGAGGGGAGGTATAGTGTTGTTGCTGGTCGTAACGACCTTCAGAAAGAACTGGGGCATTCATGGCATTTGGCCTCGATCTTGCACCCCAAGTCATAGAGGAAGGGGATGATCGGGGGACCAAATGGTGAGGTGAGGTTAGTGGACCAAGGCCTCGTATCCCCTTCTCCGCGAGTGGGTCAGTGGGGTCACTCACAGAGGTAGTCGTCATCCTGGGGCTCGCTGACCTCTTGGTACACGTGGCCCTTTCTTTCTCGTAGACTGTACCTCTTCACTCCAGTCTCCTTTTCTCTGAGTTCTAAGATGGAGAACAGAAGCTAAGCAAGGCTGGTGGGGTCTGGGGAGTTAGTCCCTGTTTTATCAGAAAGTGTGAGATCTCCTACCTGTCCATATCTAAAACTTGTTTACATGTATTTTTCAAACTTTTACTTTTGTAATTTTATTTTTAACGTTACATTGTTTATTTCTTGACCACGCTGCATAGCTTGTGGGATCTTAGTTCCTCCACTAGGAATGGAACCCACACCTCCTGCAGTGGAAGCGTGGAGTCTTAACCACTTAACCCCCAGGAAGTCCCTTCTCTATACTTTGCTTCTTCTCCCTTTAACTACTAGTTCAGGAGACTGAGGCTCCACACTGACCACAGATGCCCAGTTCAGTGATAGCTTCCTGCACTTCCCGTTAGTAGGTTTAACTTCTGAACCTTCTTACTTAGGAAATAGTTCACCGACACATCTACTCAGAAAATATATGTTAAGGGCACATGACACGTAAGGCATTGAGCAGAGGTCTGGGCATAAACACTAATAAAGCATGGTTCCTATTATCACAGTTGGATTTATTGAACGTGTAGGTGTCAGACTTTTGCATTTAATGTAAGGCTTTCAAGCACTGTATGAATTATGTATCCTTATCTTCACTTTACAGATAGCAATCAGGACCTCAGAAAATGTATAAGATTTTCCCAAGGCCCCAGTGTTAACTTCATGTCTCAGATCAGTCCAGCTTAACCCCCCACCTACCCAAAGTCCATGCCACACACCTAGGCCATACTTATTAGTTTTTCTACAGGGATTAGAGGAACTAATTAGAGGAACTCCCCAAATTTTCTCTTACCAACTTTTTGTCTGGGGTGCTGTCCAGGGGTCCTTGCTTTTCTGGGAGGGGGCACCGGTTTCTGAGCCTGCTTGGAGCCACTTGTGTTCAGCAATTTTGCTGCTTCCGGAAATTCCTTCAAACTAGATTCCTTCCTTAATGGTGCCCTGGACATTCCCTTCCATGTGAGTAAAAGACAACATGCATTTCTTTAGTTCTTTAGGACTTTATGAAGTGTTTTCACGTGCATGACTTTAGTTAATACTTTGACAATTCTTGGAAATACCTGGTGGAGGTGGGGTCTGAACAGTGGAGTGTAAAATAAAGACTTAAGTGGGTAGTGAATCAAAACTAGAATTTATATCTTAAGGTTCTTTCCCTTCAACTTTCTGCATAAAAGTGAGAGCAAGGCAGGGATAATAGCTGGAGGTCAGGGAAAGAAGAGGGTAAGGGCTCATAGAGAAATCCAGGGGGTTTTCTATTAATTAGTGGCCCTTTGATGGATGACGAAGTATGGAAAATTACAGAGGGGACAGAAAACATCTGGAAAATAAAGTGACAAAACAGTGAGATTGAGAAGAGAAACGATGATCTGCAGAAACACATTTAGACAATAAAGAAAATGAGCTGAAAGTTGCAGGTTGCCATATCCTCTTAGAGACAATGTTTGGAATTAAAGTAGCTTGGTCTCATCAGTTCTGCTAGAACAAGGCTGTATGACTAGCTGGTTCTCCTCAGTTTTCTGATCCATAAATTGGTATACATGCTAATTCTTAATGCTACAGTGGACATGAAATTTAATAACATTTCAACAAATTGTTGTGTGAGCTATTTAATATAGTATGAACGTGACTGTACATCCCTGCCATCAATTTATCCCTTCAACTGCATCTATATTTGAAGTCTAGCTCACAGATACTATCTTCAGCATTCTTTGACCTTCCTACTCCTAGATGAATGTTTAAATGTGGAGTCATTCATTCACAAAACGTTCAGGGGGCTCTCAGGGGCTTTGAGCTGGGCCTGGACTTCTGAGAATTAACAGGTACAGGCTAGGCTCTTAAAGCTCACAACACACGGGTAGGCTAAACAAATGATTCCAAACAGGAGAGTTGCCTAATCAGAGCTCAGGAGAGGGACTTGTTACTCCCTCCTGCAAGATTGAGCATTTGAAATGATGCCCAGATGATGAGTTTCTACTCAAATGCGGGTAATCTATGTGAAGTCCTTCAGTTATTTTCTTATTTGTTGCTTTTCAGTCATAAACCTGAGGCTTGTCAGGGTTGTGAGTTGCTTCCTCTTCTTATTGGAGTGGGAGGCTCTGAGGTAGGGATCCTGTTGCCTTCTTCATCCTGGACTGTCCACTTTACACACTGCCCAGCATGTCCTTAAGCTTCTTCATCTTGGACCGTCCACTCTACACACTGCCCAGCATGTCTTTAAGCTTCTTCATCTTGGACCATCAGCTCTACAAACTGCCCAATATGTCCTTAAGCTTCTTCATCTTGGACCATGCACTCTACAAACTGCCCAGCTTGTCCTTAAGCTTCCCTTAGTCAGATGTCTTAGCATATCCCTCCCTAGCACAGCACAAAAGAACTGAGGTTGAAAACATCTCTCAGATGAATGATACAAAGATGTAAACTTCATAGAACTATGGAAGTTTTAATCATTTTGTAAGGAGTTTAGAAAAAGTGCATTGGATTAGATTGCACTACCAGTGATACTGTGATCTTGGGTATATAATCAATCATTTTTTTCTTACCTCAGTTTTGTGATCTATAATGGTGATAGCTATATACCTACTTATAGGTACTGTAGGATTGTTTTAAGGTTTAAGTTAGTTTATTCACATAAAATGCTTAAAGTCTGAAATATTTTGAAAATAATGTAACAACAGAACAGGCTACTATGGTTGTTGTTCTTACTAGCTATAAAGATGGTGGTGATATCAGACAGTGTGCAAAAGATTCAGGACAGGAAGGCAGCAGTCTCCAGGATCCCTGTGTTTTCTCCTATTCTCACCTGTGACTGGATTCATGAGAAGGATATTTTTGCAACAGGATTTGGGAAATACTCACCTTCCGGTGTTTACTGTGCTCCACTCTGAAGGCCATCCGAGAAGGTTTACCTAAAGAGTGATGAGAACCAGTGTTTCGGTTGGCAAGTGTTTCCACACTCGGCTTTCTAACTCAGGACACAGGACCCTGAGCCGGAGCGCGACAGGGACAAGGATCGCCGGAGGAGGAAGGGAAGGTGGTTTCTGTATCATCAGCTCCTATGCTTCCACTGGGAGCACTGCACAATTTTCTTAGAATTAAAAAGAAATGTGAAACTTCATCTGTGCCTCATCTGATGTCCATGAGTGAGTGAGTGAGTGAAAGTAAAGTCGCTCAGTTGTGTCCAACTCTTTGCAACCCCGTGGACTGTAGCCCACCAGGCTCCTCTGTCCATGGGATTCTCCAGGCAAGAATACTGTCCATAAAGTATCTAATAAATTTACTAGCCTTTCATGACAAAAGTACTAAACAAAGTAGAAATAGAAGGAAGTGACTGCAATATAATAAAGGTCATATGTGAAAAGTCTACCTCTAACATCACAGTCATCAGTGAAAAACTAAAAATTTCTCTAAGATCCAGAAAAAAGGCAAGGGTGCCCATTCTCAACATTTCTATTCACCATAATGTTAGAAGTCCTAGCCAGGACATTAGGTTAGAAAAGGAAACAAAAGGCTTCCATTTGAAAAGAAAGAAGTAAAATTATATCTGTTCACAGAGGACATGACTTTATGTACACAAAAATCTTTAAAATTCCACACACACACACAAAACCTGCATAGAAAGTTGCACGGTACAAAATCAACATTCAAATATCATTCCATGCATGAACAATGACCATTCCAAAAAGGAAAATAAGAAAACAGTCCTAATTATTTTATATTTTTCTAAAGCTATAGTCAAGATTTAAATTTAAATTAAAAAAATATACTTATTTTTATTTATTTATTTGTGTCAGGTTTTTGTTGCCGCATGTGGGATCTAGTTCCCTGACCAGGGACTGAACCCAATTTCTCTGCATTGGGAGTGTGGAGTCTTAGCCTCTGGACCCCCAGAGAAGTCCCAATAATCTTATTTATAATACCTTCAAAAAGAATGAAATAAGTGGAAGTAAACTTAAGGAGATGAAAGACTTATACATTGAAAACTACAAAGTATTGCTGAAAGGAATCTGACATAAGTAAATAGAAAGGCATCTCATGTTTATGGATTTGGAGACTTCATATTATTAAGCTGTTCATACTACCCAAAGGAATTTAAAGATTCAATGCAATTCCTATTAAAATCCCAATGGAATTTTTTTCTGATACAAAAAATCCATCCTACAGTTAATACTGAATCTCAGAGGACCCCAAATAGGCAAAATGATCTTAGAAAAAACAGCAAAGCTGGGGGCCTCTGATTTTAGGACATATTACAAAGGTACAGGAACCAAAAGAGTGTAGTTCTGGCATAAACTGTGTGCTTAGTCCCTCAATCTTCTTGACTCTTTGTGACCTTTTGGACTGTAGCCCACCAGGCTCCTCTGTCCAGGGGACTTCTCAGGCAAGAATACTGGACGGGGTTGCTATTTCCTTCTCCAGGGGATCTTCTTAACCCATGGATTGAACCTGCATCTTCTGTGTCTCCTGCATTGAAGGCAGATTCTTCACCTGCTGAGGCACTGAGGAAGCCCGTTGGCATAAAGACAGGCATGTCAATCAATGGAACAGAATAGACAGCCAGAAATAAACAGAAATACACTCTTGGATACATGGCCTAATGATCTTCATCAAGGGGGTCAAGACAACGGGGAAAGTTTAATCCCTATAACAAATGGTGCTGGGGAAACAAAATATCCATATGCAAAATAATGAAGATCTTACATCATGAAGAAAAATCAACTCAGAATGGATTAAAGACCTAAATGCAAGACTTGATAAGATTCTTAGAAGAAAACAAGGGTGAAGCTTCACAACACTGAATCAGCAATGATTTCTTAGATATGGTACCAAGTGCATAAGTATTAGTAACAAAGTAAAAATAGACAAATGAGATTACATTAATCTTAAAACCTCTGTGCAGCAGAGGACACAGTGAACAGAGTGAAAAGGCCACCTACAGGACAGTAGAAAATATTTGTAAAATATGTATCTGATAAGGGGTTATTAAGCATACACCAATGTGAAGCCTACCTATAAGTCAGGAAGAGAACCTGATTGACCATGATGGCACCCTGATATCAAACTTCCAAGCTCTAGCATTGTAAGAAAACAAATTTCTGTGGTTTAAGGAATGCAATCTGTTTTGCTATGGCAGTCTGAGCTGACTAACACAGTGGAAGAAGGAATTCAATAGATATTTCTCCAGAGAAGTTACACAAATGGCCAACAAACAAATGAAAAGATGATCAATATTACTAATCAATAGGGAAATACAAACTGAAACCTTCTTTGATGGGCAATATGAATAAGAAGATAATAGCAAGTTTGGTAAGGATATGGAGAAATTGGAACCCTTATACACTATTGTTGGAAATGTAAAATGTTGCAACCTTCATAGAAAACAGTATGGAGTTTCCTCAGAAAATTAGAACTGCTGTATGACCTAGCAATCCAACTCAAGGGTATATTTCCATAAAAAATTGAAAACAAGATCTTGAATAAATAGTGTGCACATCTATGGTCATTGCAGCATTATTCCCAGTTGGCAAGATGTGGAAGCAATCTAAATGCTCATTGGTGGATAAACAAATAAAAATTATATATAAGATATATCTTATATCTGTTGTATACACATGCACACAATGGAATGTTTTTAAGCCTTAAAAAAGAATTCTGTCCAATGCTACATCAGGAATGGGTCTTGATGATATGCTAAGTGAAATGAACCAATTCAAAAAAGGCAAATATTGCCTGATTCCACTTCTATGAGGTATCTAAATTAATCAAATCCATGGAAACAGAAAATATAATCGTGGTTGCCAAGGGCTATGAGAAGGAAGGATTGGAGAATTGTTACTCAGTAGGTTAGGGCTTCAGTCACGCAAGATGGAAAAGTTCTACAGATTTGTTGTACAGCAATGTGTATATATATCCCCGGTGGCTCAGCGGTAAAGAATTGCCTGCAATGCAGGAGATGCAACAGACGCAGGTTCAATACCTGGGTTGGGAAGATCACCTGGAGCAAGAAATGGCAACCCACTCCAGTATTCTTGCCTGGAGAATCCCATGGACAGAGGATCCTGGTGGGCTATAGTCCATGAGTACGTAAAGAGTTGGACATGACGGAGCAATTAGAACTATGGCCACTAACACTAATGTGTACATAGTTAGCAAGAGTGTACCATACACTCAGAAACTGTTAAGAAGGTAAATTAAGATGTGCAGAGTTATGGTGAATCGTGACATATATATTCTCTATGAAGACTCTCTCTTCATGTAAAAACCTTTGCAGACAACCAAATGTTTGTTTTCATGTCCCTTTCACTAGTTTTAATAACCTAAGGGAACAGAGGGACTTCCTTGGTAGCACAGTGGATGAGAATCTGCCTGTCGATGCAGAGGACACAGGTTCGATGGCTGGTCCAGGAAGATTCCACTTTCTGCGGGGCAACTAAGCCTGTGTGTCACAAACTACTGAGCCTGCATGTGCTCTGCAATGAGAAGCCACTCACCACAACCAGAGAAAGCCCGTGCACAGCCACGAAGACACAGTGCAGCCAAAACTAAATGAATAATTTTAAAATATCTGGGAGAACAGAAATTCATAGATGGAGAATCATAGAGCTATTTAAATTGTTTTCTCCAATCTAGGAAGATTAACTAGTCTAAACTGTCTGAGCAGTAGAAGAGGAAGTGAGCTGCTCACTTCTATTTTATAATGAGTGTACTTCATTTTATTTACCTGATGCTGTTTCTGGTCAGTGAAATGTGGGAAAGATCAGGGAGAATAAATAGTTCTCTCAAACCCTTTCCCAGAATTAAAACAAAGAATTAGTTTCACCTTAGGGTAAGAAGACCATGTGTTGTTTTATATACATACATAAATAATGTATCTTGACATAATATGTTAATCATTTCCTCTTCTAAGAGATTTAATCCAATAACTAATTATAAGATTAGTATTAAATCTCTTTGGTGAATTTATTCCTAAGGTTTCTTTAACTGCCTTTCACTAAGAATGTTTAGCAAGAATAATTCTTTTTAAAAAGAATTATAAATTTTAAACAGAAGACTTTTGAGAATTACACTGGAAAACCTATACATTTATCTTCATTCAGGCTGATGTCAATATTCGGCCACAACCACTTCAGAATGCTGAAAATTATGTTTTCTTTGCTAATGGCTGAGACGTAGTTGAGACCTAAGCCCAGGCTGGTTTCAGGAAGACTCTAAATCCTCCTGGCCCCTCACCTTGCTGCCTTGGTGTCCATTCTTCATCAGAATCCTCAGTGTCATCTACCTGGGATTTGATGACCTGCCTACGGTGATGCATGAAATCCGGTCGAGTGGCTCTGAAACCTGGAAAGAAGCAAAATACTTGCCCTAAGAAGGAGGAACAAAACACAGAAGCAATAGGAAGTGTCACAAAGTCAGGGAATCAGTGGGATGGGCTGGGGGAATCTAGAACAAGGCAAGTGGTGAGCTGTGCACTGCAGGGTCAACCTCCCTTTGGTACAGAACTATAAACATTTCCTCCAGGTTAGTCTCCACACAAAAGGGAACTGAGCAGATGAAGCCACCTAAGAGCGGGCCAAGTGAACACTGAGGGTGAAGACCTGTTTCATGTTTCCCAGGCTCACAGGAACCCAGCTCTTCCTGTTACCTATAGCAATCAGCACTTCGTAGTTCCTTTTCATGTTCCTATAACGGATTTTTTCCCATTCTCCCATCTCTTCCCATTCTTCCTTGGAGAAGTATATGGAGATGTCTTTGAAAGCATCTTTGGCCTATGTAAAATAATAGATTTCATCAGTGATTTACTAATATAAGTCAGACCTTAGAGCTGGGCCTTCTCCTCCACCTTTTGTGCAAGGAGTAGCCTGAAGCTACTGGATGGTGTCTGTCAGACAGAGATGAAGACTTTCCTTCCTGACTGTGTCCTGCTTAACTGAACAAACACTGAGCATTTTCTTAACTCTCCCTGGACACAAAGCAGTTGACAGATCTAGGGTCCTGTTTTGTCCCACTCCACCCCACCATCTCAGACAGGACCAGGCATTCCCATCCTGTGTACGGTCACAGAGAAGTTCACTCGGCTGCCCAGGCAAGCAGTCAGAGCTGCTTCAGGGACCAGTGCCATGTCCTTCCTATAGAGCTGGCTTAGAGCCTAGCTTTGCCGCCTCCACCTCTCACCGTGGCCTTCCGCTCTGTTTTCCCAGCATCTCCCTCAGTGCTTTCCTCTGGAGATCTGTTCGGCCTCATGGCCATTGGAGTGCTCAAGGCCAAGGTGCCTGTGGAAGAAGAAGGTGCTGAGACAGCCCAGACCACTGTCCAGAGCCTGGTCTGTCTTCCTTGAGTGGAGTGTCCAGGGTAGGAAGGTGAGGGGAAAGTCGGGGTGAGCGTATTGGTGGGATGGAGGGATCCTGACTAGCTATGACATACCAGCCTAATGTGAACTAGATTTGGTTTCTTTGGATCCCCTACAATTCAGCCCCTCCAAGAAAAGGCACTGGGAGGGACGTGTCTGTGGGTGTCAGAGGGATTCCTGAGGAGACCTGGAAGCCCCTAAGTGCTGGACTGGGGTCAGGCTGAAATCAGGGCTCTGTTCCAGTGCAGGAGAGGGATTATTTCTCCAAGAAGGGTTTTGAGGATCTCCGCCTGGGGACTCAGAAAAATCTGGGCATAATGTGGGTTCTATATCTAAGGGACAGGTCAATCGGCTTGAGGAGATCTGGGTCCCACGGGCTGAACGAACTGGGGTCCTCAGGCAGAGGGGACTGGGGATCTTCTGGCTGAAGTAGAATGTGCAGGGTGAGAGAACTTGGGATATTTCAGGCTGAGGAAATCAGGGGTTTCTTACTAAGGCGCTTTAGGTCTCCGACATGCAGGACAATTGGGGTCTTGAGGAGGAAGAGCTTTAAGAGCTCCCAGGCTGAGGTACTCAGTGTCTCCGAGGTTAAGGAAATTTAGTGTCTCTGCGGGTGCTACTTTTAGGGTGCCTCAGGCTGAGGGGAACTGGGGTTACTCTAGGTATTTGAGGGTCGCAGCACCAGGGGATTCGGTGTTTCTGCGGGTGAAGGGACTTGTAGTCCCTGAAGCTGACGAGATGCAAGCTTCCTTCAGATTAGGACTCAGGTTCCTCAAAGCTGAAGGGATTTGGGGCCTCTCACCCTGGAATTTGAAGTCGTCAGGCTAAGAGTTTATGAAGGTTGTGCAGGGTGCGTCCCCGTCAGTCTCCCCGCTGTCCTGTGGCGCTGCCCAACCTGGCCTGGGGTACGCTAGTAGCTCGGTGACGTTCAGTCCTCCCGCGCTGAGGCGAAGTGAAGAGCCAGCAGCCCGCGTGTACCCTGTCAGGCACGAGCGACCAATCGGCCTTGCGACCGAGGCAGTCTGGCCAATAGGCGCTGGGAGGGTGTGAAGTGCAATGGAGGCCCCGCCCCACCGCTCGGGGATTGGCTGCCCTGGGGGCGTGTCTGTCAAGAAGCTCCATTGCGCAGGCGCTTCTTGGCTGTTTTCTTTGCTTATTTTCAGGTATGGCCTCTTAGGTCTGGAACCTCAAGTGAGCCGGTTGTCCTCAGGCTGGATGTTTCCTTCCAGTGCCCTCAACTAGAATCTCGGCTCCACCAGAGTGTAGTCGTGCTCCCGGACTTTCTCCTAGGCCCACCTGTGCCCTACCTTGCCAAATCCAGCTTTGGCAAGAACTCTATTGATGAGTACTGTATTATTCAGGGGAAAATGGTGTAATTAACTAAATTCTGATGAGACACAGGATAAACAATGTATGGTCAAAGATTTAAATGCAAAGCATGGAATAAGTATGTTAGAAAAAACTTGGAGGATTTTAAACCTCAAAGTAGAAGTGGCACTGATGAGTCATTTGTATATTTAATGTAGGTATTAAAAGCCTTCAGAAATGTGGTATAAATAAAACCTCAAAGCCTTGCACGTGTTTTCTGTAAAACGAGGCATTGAACTGGATGGATCCACAGAGCTGAGTTTGCTTGACACCTACTGGCTTCACAAGGTAAAATTAGAGACACTGTTTCTGGCCCTTAGCTAGATTTGCTCACAGAAAAATAATGTGATTTCCATGTATTGGAAGCAAGACAACTGACTGTAAAATTAGTATCAAGTGGTGGTTGGGAGTATGGACGGAGAAATGTTACCAGGAAAGTGAGTTTACCTCTCGGTGGGTGTTGAGCCAGAAGATACAACCCAGCCAAAGCTCATGGGAAGGAAAAGTGTATTACTTCCAGAACCGTGGAGAACACCACGCAGCTTTCCAGAGCAGTATCTCTCTAAACTGCAAAGTTGGGGAAGCTTTGATCTAGGGGTACAGGCGTGTTCAGGCTTTCATGGTGGCTCAGACGGTAAACAGTCTGCCCATAGCAGAAGAGGCGGATTCAATCCCTAAGTGGGGAAGATCCCCAGAGGAGGGCGGGGCAGTCCACCCCAGTATTCTTGCCTGGAGAATCCCATGGACAGAGGAGGCTGGTGGTCCATGGGGTTGCAAAGAGTCAGACACGAGTGAGTGACTAACACGCTAACCTTACAGGCATGTCCATTAAGGGCCGTGGGCCGTGGGAGACTCCAGGCTTCTGGTGATTGAAGTCTTGAGAGTCAGAACCAGTCACCATCAGCATCCCTTACATTCCAGCTGGTCTGGTATAGATATCGATTCTTAATATAGATATAGATATCTATTCTTCTTCATATTCTTTCCCCTTATCAGTTCAGTTCAGTCGCTCAGTCGTGTCTGACTCTTTGTGATCCCATGGCCTGCAATACGCCAGGCTTCTCTGTCCATCACTAACTACTAGAGCTTGCTCAACTCATGTCCATTGAATCAGTGATGCCATCCAACCATCTCATCCTCTGTCATTCCCTTCTCTTCCCGCCTTCAATGTTTCTCAGCATCAGGGTCTTTTCAAATGAGTCAGTTCTTCACATCAGATGGCCAAAGTATTGGAGCTTCAGCTTCAGCATCAGTCCTTCCAATGAATATTCGGGACTGATTTCCTCTATGATTGACTTGTTGGATCTCTTTGCAGTCCAAGGGACTCACAAGAGTCTTCTCCAACACCACAGTTCAAAAGCATCAATTCTTTGGCAGTCAGCTTTCTTTATGGCCCAACTCTCACAACCATATATGACTACTGGAAAAACCATAGCTTTGACTAGATGGACCTTGGTCAGCAAAGTAATGTCTCTGCTTTTTAATATGCTGTCTAGGTTGGTCATAGCTTTTCTCTCAAGGAGCAAGCATCTTTGAATTTCATGGCTGCAGTCACCATCTTCAGTGATTTTGGAGCTCAAGAAAATAAAGTGTCTCACTGTTTCCATTGTTTCCCCATCTATTTGCCATGAAGTGATGGAACCGAATGCCATGATCTTCATTTTCTGAATGTTGAGCTTTAAGTCAGCTTTTAAACTCTCCTCTTTCACTCTCATCAAGAGTCCCTTAGTTCTGCTTCACTTTCTGCCATAAGGGTGGTGTTATCTGCATATCTGAGGTTATTGATATTTCTCCCGGCAATCTTGATTCCAGCTTGAGCTTCATTCAGCCCGGCATTTCACATAACGTACTCTGCACATAAGTTAAGTAAACATGGTGACAACATACAGCCTTGATGTACTCCTTTCCCAATTTAGAACCTGTCCATTGTTCCATGTCTGGTTTATGACCGTTGCTTCTTGAGCTTCATACAGATTTCTCAGGAGGCAGGTAAGGTGGTCTGGTGTTCCCATCTTTTGGGAATTTTCCAACAGTTTATTGTGATCCACACAGTCAAAGGCTTTGGCATAGTCAATAAAGCAGAAGTACATGTTTTTCTGGACTCTCTTGCTTTTTCTATGATCCAATGGATGTTGGCATTTGATTTCTGGTTCCTCCGCCTTTTCTAAATCCAGCTTGAACATCTGGAAGTTCTTGGTTCACTTACATTGAAACCTCACTTGGAGAATTTTGAGCATTACTTTGCTAGCTTTGAGATGAGTGCAATTGTGCAATAGTTTGAACATTCTTTGGCAGTGCCTTTCTTTGGGATTGGAATGAAAACTGACCTTTTCAAGTCCTGTGGCCACTGCTGAGTTTTCCAAATTTGCTGGCATATTGAGTGCAGCATTTTAAGAGCATCATCTTTTAGGACTTGAAATAGCTCAGTTGGAATGCCATCCCTCCACTTGCTTTGTTCGTAGTGATGTTTCCTAAGGCCCATTTGACATCACATTCCAGGACGTCTGGCTCTAGGTGAGTGATAACACCATCGTGGTTATCTGGGTCATTAAGATCTGTTTTGTATAGTTCAGTGTATTCTTGCCACCTCTTCTTAATATCTATTGCTTCAGAAATGGTTCATACCTTTTCTGTCCTTTACTGTGCCCATCTTTGCATGAAATGTTCCCTTGGTATCTCTAATTTTCCTAAAGAGATCTCTATTCTTTCCCACCCATTATATTGTTTCCCTCTTTTTTTTTTTCTTTTTTTGCATTGTTCGCTTAAGAGGTTTTTCTTATATCTCCTTGCTATTCTTTGGAACCTTGCATTCAGATGGCTATATCTTTTCCCTTTTCTCCTTTGCCTTTAGCTTCTCTTCTTTTCTCAGCTACTTTTAAGGCCTCCTCATACAACCCTTTTTGCCTTTCTGCATTTCATTTTGGTGGATGGTTTTGATTATGGCCTCCTGTACAATGTTAGGAACCTCCGTCCATTGTTCTTCAGGGACTCTGTTAACCAGATGTAATCCCTTGAATCTATTTGTCACTTCCACTGTATAATCATAAGGGATTTGATTTAGGTCATACCTGAATGGCCTAGAGGTTTTCCCTACTTTCTTCAATTGAAGTCTGAATTTTGCAATAAGGCCATCATGATATGAGCCACAGTCAGCTCCTGGTCTTGTTTCTGCTGATTGTATAGAGCTTCTCCATCTTTGGCTACAAAGAACATAATCAATCTGATTTTACTATTAACGATCTTGTGATGTCCATGTGTAGAGTCTTCTCTTGGGTTGTTGGAATATAGTGTTTACTATGACCAGTGCATTTTCTTTGCAAAACTCTGTTAACCTTTGCCCTGCTTCATTTTGTACTCCAAGGCCAAACTTGCCTGTTACTCCAGGTATCTCTTGACATCCTACTTTTTAAAAAAGATTAATTTATTTTAACTGGAGGTGGATTACTTTACAATATTGTGGTGGTTTTTGCCATATGTTGACATGAGTCAGCCATGGGTGTACATGTGTCCCCCTGTCCCAAAACCC